CGCCGACCACACCCCCGCCATGATTCGCTTCGGCGGCGGCGACCAACACGGCGGCGTCACCTTCGATGGTTTGCTTCGTATATTATCGCTGGATTCTTTTGCTGCTTATTGATTAAAGTTAAACCAACCAACCCCTTGTGTTTTTTTTTTATTCCCATAAACAAGTGTATTGGGTTTTCGACTTTGTCCAAGTTTGGCAAATTACAGTGAATAACTTAGTACTCTCTAAATATATGCAAAAATGGTTGTTCATTAATAAAGAATAATTACTCCGAAAATGAATAGTATTTGCCAGTGATCAACTTTTCCGAAATATCTTTATTATTTTTCGGAGACCGTCAACAGGCAGACTAAGTATTGGCCTAACGGCGGAGTTTAAGATGGTACGTGTAGAATCATTAGTTTAAATTTTATTATTATTGTTATCATTTCTGACGTATAAAAAAGAAGTTCGTATTCTGCATTAACATGATTCATTTCATACTACTATTTGAATCATTAAATATTAATTTAAATATTTCTTGAAAACTTAAAACATCAATTAATATTTTAATTTTTTGATGTTAAAATATCAATCAATTTAAAATGAAAATACTGTTTTTGGACATGATATTTGTTATGTAAGATTTTTTTAAAACTTTTCAATTTAATATTAATTATTTTTATTTTTATCTTTATTTCATTTATACTGTGAATAATATTTTTAAAAATGTTATTGTGGTGCATCATTTTCAAAACAAAATCAGTAAATAAATAATTGTTATAAAATAAGTATTTTTATTTATATATGTAAATAAATCTCAGAAGACACAATTATGAAATGAAAAGAATAGTATTTGTGTTGGTACAGCTCGCGAGACTTAATTATTAGATGTTTAGATAAATTAATGTTAATATTTTCTGTAAACTACTAAAAAATAATTTATACATTTAATTTTAACAAATAAAAGTTAGTCAAGTCGAATGGCTATAAACAATTAAAATAAGCTATCTTAAGTTTTATATTTCTAAATTCTGAATAAGTTTGATTACAGAATTTAATTTATAATTGACTATAGTTGTTTGTCAGTATTATGAGTGGTACGATATATATCACGTTCTAAATTTTGCTCACGTCCACATGTCCTCTGTTGTTTGTCAGTATTATGAGTGGTACGATATATATCACGTTCTAAATTTTGCTCACGACCACATGCCCTCTGTGAATGTGAATTGTGGTAGTAATGTTTGTAGTGTTTACATTGCATATCGACAATACCATGTAATACAAACTTAGAAAGTACCATTGTTGGCAACCATTGCTTAGTGACACTTACTACTGACTAGAGAGTAACGAGACGCATGGTTAAACGTGATTTGGTGTGTATTGTCATTTTCATTTTACCAAAAACAGACAAACAATGAATATGTTGAAAAGCAACTAGACTCTTATGATATGGATTAAATTAAATTAACAAATTTTTTTTACCGAAAATATGTCTATATAGGACTCAATCGTGATAGTTATCTCATAAGATATATAAGAAGGAAATAAAAAGATACTGTAGTTATTAACTTTTTTTATACAAAAGATCTTTTATTTTTTAATAGAGCAATAACAAGTCTTATTTAGTTATACGATATGGACTACATTAATCAATGTTTCTTAAATCAATAATTTTAATTGATTCAAACGTAATTGTCTCTACTAAATGATACACGTGTTAAAAAAAAACTTATTAAATTTAGTTAAAAAAGTAAATCTTAAAAGTCCTTAACTAGAACTTGTTACCTATTATAACAATATATGCATAATTACTGTAAATGTTTTTAATAAAATTATTTATTAATTTTTATCATATTTGTCTGAATATCAGCGAATAATATAATAATTTATACCTAAGGATAGTTGCAATATTTTTAAATTGTTTCGGTATGAAAAATGCACTTATCCTAAAATAAAGACTTTATAATTAATTATTATATCTTTTTGAAATTTGAAAATCTCAAAATTTTGTAAAAATTTAATTATTATTAAATATCATATTTTAGTGTTCAATCATAATTATTAATAATTATCTTAAGTTGAACAAATGTTAATAATATCAAAAAATTTAAAGTCGACATAAAATCAATATAACAAATTTTATATACATGTCGCTGAAAATTTGTTAACTTATATGATATCATCCTAATTCTCAATTACTCAAAATCACACTCAAATATTTATTAAAAATTATATATTAAAAGTATTAAATAATATATTCAATTTTTTTTATTTGTTTATTTTAAAAGATAGCACAAAATTTAAAAGTATAATTAATATCCATACTAAAGTTTCGGCTTTTTTTAACATCATATATGAATATTATATTATATTATTTTTTATAATATTTTATATTTTAATATATAAGAGATTTATTTTTTTTAGAAGTGAGTTTATCAAAACTTACTCCATTCAATAACTCATGTTTTACACTAAATTTTAACAATACAACAGTTGAATTTAAAGTTTTTAATGTATAGAAGTCTGCAAATTCTTAAAAAATGTAAACATCATTTGATACTTTATTTCATTAATTCAAATCAACATATAAAATGATTTTATGATTATCCGTCAATTTAAATTAATGAAATGAAGTATCAAAAGGTTTTCAATTTTTTAAAATTTTGTATATTTGTTCTATATAATAAGAACTTTAAATTTAATGATTATAACATTAAAATTTGATGTAAAATACAGTTATTAAATAAAATAAATCTAAATAAACTTACTCTTACAGTACATGGATCCTTCCTCATTTTAATATTATACAAAAGTTAAGTCATCATATCCTACTACATTAATATTGTTAATTTTTCAATCTTCTGGTTAACTTTTTACACTCCATCATTTAAAAAATTTGTTATAATATTTAAAAAGACAATAAGATAAGTTTTTCCTAACATCTCACCTTTTCATCCTCGGTTCAACAATATTATTATAATAGTATAAAATATAAATAAGTTATATACATATTTCAAATTTCACTTGCACATTACTACAATTTTATTTTTTAACTTTTGTCTTTGAAACAACTAGTTTAGTAATTTACGGAAGATGAAAGATAAATAGTAAAATAATTGTTTAATTATTTATATAGAGAGATTTTTTATAGTATTAAAATAAAAAACTATCCAATATTTTCAAAATATAAAAAAAAAATAGAAAACATTTACATATATATTTGTATTTACAAAAATGTAATGTTATATTTTAATGCATAAATTTACGTATATAAATATAAATCAAGGAAAGCATCAAACGTTTGTGAGTTGGACACAATCATTAAAACCTCCCACGAAAGTATCAAATTTGGCGATATGGGCAACACCTATAAGGAGAAGGTTTTGGATGGTCCATCTAAACATAATAATATGCATAATCTCATCAAGGAGAGAGTCGTAACTTTGGAGTTTGAAGAAGGAGATCATCTTTTGCCAAAGTTTAATATTACTCAACCCACCTTTAAGTAGTCATTCTAGTGATCAAACTACCGAGAAAAACTATAGGTTTTCTAACAATGAGAGGCAAGCTTCACACATTGTGGAAGCTTTAGGGTGGGTTTGGACAGTTGGATTTATTGCATGGTTATTTCATAGTAAAGTTTGGCCTAGAGGTGGACAAGGAGAGAGTCATGCAGGGAGGTCCATGGATGCTTTTCGACCATTACTTGATTGTGAGGCTATGGTCACTAGAGTTTGTGACGTTTGAGGATAAGGTTAATAGCACTTTAATATGGGTTTGCTTCCCTAGTTTAGGGATGGTGTGCTATAACAAGAGTGTTCTACTTACTATGGCCTCAGTAATTGGAAAATCTATTAGAGTGGATCTCAATACCTTGAACACGAAGAAGCGATGCTTTGCACTGGTCTATGTTGAGATTAGTTTGGATAAACCTATTATGGGTAAATTCAACCTGAAAAGCATTTGTTACATTGTTGAATATGAAGGACTTCATATGTTATGTGCATCATGTGATTGCTGTGGCCAGGTGTGCAACTACTAAAAAATAATTTACCAACTCGAGAACAACAACCCCCTATCAGCCTTGGTGCGACGATATGCCATCAGAGGATGGAACAATTATGACACCTCAATCTTTGGAACACTGGTGATAAAAAATTTGGACAATTTTAATTCCTTAAATTTTAGTTAAGAAATTTTAGTTTTTCAAATATTATAGTTATATAATTTTGATCTCTCAATTTTTAATTAAATAATTTTAATACTTAAAATATCATAATTGTATAATTTTAATCTTTAAATTATTATAATTATACAAAGTTTACTTATTTAAATTACATATATTAATAATTTTAATAATAATAAATATATATTATTTAAAACATGAATGAAAATAGTAATATATGTAACTTAAAATAAATAAATAAATATATTATTATTATGCTTAAAAGACTAAAATCATATAATTCCAATACTTTAAAAAATAAAACTAATTAATTAAAATTTAAGAAATCAAAGTTACATAACTCCAAAAAACTAAAATTACTCAATTAAAATATTAATTCACATAATTATAATACTAAAGAGATCAAAGACACAATTAAATTTATTTACTTATTACAGATTTCAATTACTATAGTTTATATATTAAAAAATAGTTATTTATCATCGATTATAATTATATAAATAAATACTTATTATGTACATAAACTAAATTTATGTTTTATTAAAAAGAAGTGCATATTTAAAAATAAAAAAGAATGAAAATAATTCTAACATGTCTGGAAAGGAAAATATAAGTTGCTTTCGAATGAATAAGATCAATTCAAACAGCATATTTAAGGAGATGCTAATTTTAGCAATACAAGTGATTAGGATAATGGTGCTGTTAATATTAAAAGGAGGATATATGATGATAAGCACGAGTGACTGCTTAAATAATGGTCAAAAACTTAACATTTAAAGGTTCTTCCAAATTGAACCAACTAGACGGTGATAAAACCTCCACATTATACATTATACTTTCATCTGGTAAGGTGATGTCTGATCACTTTCCGTTCTTCATCCAATACGAAATTGGCCCTTGAAAAGTGACTGCTACTAAAGAATGGTTTCAGATCATAAATTTCATGCTCTTGAGCCTGCACCATTTCAAGCAAGCTCGAGAATCAAGTCAATGTTTATCTCGGTTGAAAACAAACACAAAGGACAAATGTTATTATTACCTTGTTGTAGAGATCATCCACTTTGACATCTACATACGTTAGACCAGAAGCAGATCCAGAGACTATTTCTTCGAAATGCAAAGCATTCTTTACAAGCTGGCG